ATTAACTATTAACAACTTTCTTCATGTTTTTTATTTTGGACCATGAGTAAGAACCACATGTGCGAAGCTTATAGTCGTCGGTCTCAGATTGAATTTCACTGACTTGGGGTTTATACCCTGCTTCTCAATGGTGACTCATATTGTCATAATACACCTGACAATATTTATGGTTACTGTGTTCTAGTGGTGGGATAAGTATGTTAGACATGCATATATCTATTTTTCATGGCAAATTTGAAATGCTGGGGTTAAAGTGGTGGGCACACTTGGCAGGCACCTTAAAATTTCTGCAGGAATTTTCTAGTCTTCTACTTAAACTTCATGAACAGCAGAATTTTTTTTTTGTGAATACTTGAACAAAACTGACAGAAAGGTTACTGAATATTTTTGCTTATTTCTAGACATACAAATGATCAAGTTATTAGTTTTGCAAACTTAGAATTGTGGAGTTCTCACTTTAACCCAGAACAGGATTTAGATCAGTCACTCTTTAGCTCATTTTATCAGAAACTGTAGTTTCACTATTTAGAAATGGAATTAGATGCTTAGCAACCCTGAACAGGAGAACTTACTTTACACACTTTAGAACAACATTAGGTTAGTTTTCTTTCCTTTGGTTTGTTATTTTGTTTGTATTTCCTTTTAACTCATGTAAAGCTCTTTGAATTGTTGCTGAAAATGTGCTATATAAATAAAATGACCTTTCCTTACCGTTAGGAATAACTGTTATTCTTAATCTAATACTGGCTGGTTGTTGCAGAGCCTGATTTAAAGTCCAGATGTATTCTGAAAGCAGTGGAGCTCAGCGCTGAGACAGTTTACCTATCAAACAAGCTGCACTGCATGGAAACGGCTGGAATCAGCAACGTCTCTGTTGTTGAGCTGGACAGGAGCAACAACCAGAAGAGGCTCCTTCCAGCTGTTTGAAATGAGTCTGCATTCACCAAACATCTGCTTAACATCCTGCACACACACACACACACACACACACATCTCCCAGTACAATGAGCCGATAGGCAGAGTGTGTCTCTCTCTCTGTGGAGGTTCAGATGCATCACGCCTAATCAGAGGGAGACTCATGGCGGCTAGCGCTGCATGCTAATCCTCTGCAGATGAAGACGCTAAGCTAAGAGCGAGCTGACAGCCGGGCTAATGCTAAGTGCAGTGTCACTGCTCCCCCCACTCACACACACACACACACACACACACACACACACACACACACACACACACACACACACACACACGCACACACACACACACTCCTGCATACTCTCACCCATCAATTCCTTCTTGAGATGTAAACCCCAGTGTATGGCGGTTTGTGTGTGTGTGTGTGTGTGTGTGTGTGTGTGTTCATGAAGGGTTTTAATGATAACAGAAACAGAATGAGTAGAGTACCAAAAATTAAATAATAGTAGCAGTACTTCAGCATGTTGTTACTCGAGAGTAAGAAAGCATTTGTTAAAAACTGATTAAAACATTTAATATTTATACATTTTCCACATTAATTTGATTCCATATTAAACTTAGGAAACTTTAAACAAAAACTTTAAAGTTTGTAAAAGTTTACAAGTAAGAGTACAGATGCTTCATAATAAAGATACTCATGGAAAAGTAAAGCACAGTGTAGTAAAAATACTCCTAACTGTACATTTAAAAAAAATAATAATTCAAGGTGTGTCTGGTGAGTTTTTGGTTGAAACAAGTTTTTTCTTTATTTAGTGAAGTTTCTCTGAAATTTTATTCAAGAGCATCAATACTTCATCCTTAATAAAAGTATTTTATTCCAAAATGTTACTGAAGTAAATGTAACCAATTCCTATCCAGCTGTGACTAAAAGCTCCCTGATGACCTCTCAGGGTCGCTTGTTCTGATTGGTCGATGTTCACCTGCACAGGTGAGCAGGAGTTAAAACTAGAACCGTCCCTTCACATTGGAACGTTTTGGTAAACACACACACACCCACACACACACACACACGGTTGTGTGAAAGCTCCCAGGAGAACCACACAGGGGCTACAATGTCTGCCTGTCAGTAAAGCACTTCCTCAGAGCTGCCTGCCAATCAGCGCCGCGCCGCGCCGCTCACCGTCAATCATGGCGCTGTGCCACACCCAGCGCTGATGGGACCAGAACCGCCTGGCGGTGACCGCCAGCAGCGCCAGCGCCGCCTCCTCCCCCACTCACCAAAACCACAACTCAAACATCGGCTTCCTCTGACACGCTTCAAGGTGGCGGCGTTAATATTTAGGACCTTCGTTTGTGTCGCTCCTGAGGAAGATTTTGGTCCAAACAAAGTTTGACAACTTCAGCGACAAAACAAAACGGATGAAAAACAAACTTCAAGACCAGCAGGAACCGAATGGAGGGAGGAACAAGCAGAGGAAGCTTTTATTGAGGAAGGCACACATTTACAGACCATAGATTATCAGATGTTGGAAATAAATCTGAATTTGTCTTAATGTTTTATTTTTAAAAAACGCTGAATTCACAAATCTCTGCTGAGCAAGTAGAGAAAAGCAGAACTTCTCTTTAGTAACTGAAGAACCGAGCAAAGCAAAGCTGAGTAAGACAACAGAGATTGCTTAACCTCATGGAGTTGCTGTTTGTGAGCATAAAGTTATTTAACTAAAGGTATTCTAACTGTAATTAGCTGAATCAGCATTGTTTTTTCATTTGTTTCCCTGCTTTTTTTAGTTTGGACATAAAGGACATTATTCTAGCTGTACGGCTGAACAGGACGCGGTGAAATGAAGACGTTGGCCTTTAAAGGCAGATGAAGCTCATCACCAGTTAAACATGAAGATGGTTTTAAACCTCTGCTGCTGCTGCTCAAACACACTTTCTGGCATTTATTGACAATAACCTTTGTAGGGTTTCTGGGTGTTGAAGTTTACAAGGTTTTGAACAGATTTTTCCTCAGGTGGCATTTTCAGGTGACAATGCTGTACAACAGCTTAAAAGACACAATTAGTGCTAGCTTAGTGGTTACACAGAAATCAATGCGGCTGTCAGCGGAGGAATTTATCTGTAAAGATGCTGGATGTTCATATGTGACCCCAGAGAGAACAAAAAGAGACTTTGTGCTTTTATAAAAAGGGAAACTTAAGTGTTAATCCTTCTTTCCCCCCTGAACGACCGTCTCTGTTCTTGAAGACTCAGGCAGCTGTCAGCTCCTGCCTCTAAATGACAGAGGTAACCCTCTTATATGAGCAGCCGCCGCTAAAAGCATGTCATTTTCTCCTGCTAATGTCAAGTGTGCCCAGATGAGAAGAGGCAGGGGAGTTAATAACACCGCCTTTCCTCCTCACATGCCTCCACAGCCGCTCTCCTGAACTAAACTTTCTGCTTGAACTCAAATGTTGTGAATGCCAACTAATGACAGAGTGACCCGCTCTGACTGACCAGCTAAAAGCTCTGGGTGATGATTAGCTGGGTGGGATCTGGACGCCTTGGAAGGATTCCTCCTAAAACCCTGAGAACCTCTTCTATTAACCTGGAGCTGTCCATCTGCAGCCTGTTTCACTAAGAATAGCCAGACCTTTAAACGACTTTCCCTGCTGATCTTTGCATTAGCAGCCTGGTCAAACACCTGGAGAAATGTGTCGGCTGTGATTGCACAACTTAGACACATTTTACTGCAATCAGCGCGGACGCTGAGGGGCATTATGGTTCTGCTGCAGACAGAGAATAGCCAACGACTCCAAAACGTTTTGCACTGAAAGTTAATAGACATGAAGCAAAAGATAATACATGTTAAACGCTGTGGTAACGTCTGGTAACCTGGCTTTGCTCAAGCTGCTGTATTACTTCATGTTTTAACTTTACATGACCGGCAGCTTGTAAACAAATGGCTTTGTCTGCCGTTGGTCTGATGAGCTGTGCTACCCCGTCAGAACAGCAGACTGATGGGGAGCACAGATAGTCAGAACTTTGGTGGTAAATTTATTGCATTGTGCAACACAAATAATCACCCGGTGCGCAAAACAGTGAAACATAATTTAAATAACCTTCAAGGCAGATCATTTGCCTTGAGGTATTTTAATAAACGGGGTTTTTAATCGTTTGAGGAATCATTACAACCCTAATTTACATAAGACATTTACAACAACCTCAGCTGACAACAGTTACCTCATAGATGTAAGATAAACTGAGAAATTAAGGTAAGTTTGATAAAAAAAGAAAAAGAATAAGATTAAGTTGGCAGTAAACGTAATGGGAAGTAACCTCCAAGTTCTGAGGAATAACCTGCAAATTGTAGGGAAACTGAGATGTTTTGAAACAGATTTAAGTTTTTAGGCAGCCCACAAACATTCCCACAAAATTCCCAAAGACGAATCTGGAAAGTTTAAGTTCTGTGAAAGTGACTCTTCAGTCCCAGGTTTACACACTCCACTACTCATAACCTCACATTTCATTTCAAAATAAAAGTTCCTCCTTCCATCTTTCCCTCACTTCATCTGCCTGGACCGACGCTCCTAAACAATAGAAAATCCACATGTTGTTTATATCGTCTGTGTATTCACGGCCCTAAATGACTCATTTTGAAATGCATAAATATTCACACATAATTAAGGATTTCAAGAAAATTCCTGTCTTAGTTGAACTATTTTGAAAATACGGATGTTCATTTGTGATAAACTTTGCTCTTGCTGCAGCATCAAAAATAAGAAATAAAAACTCGGGTCGAATTTTGACAGATGGTTGAACACACACCTACAAACTAAGTAAAATACTATTTCACCCTCCAGGAATAAATAAATGATATCCTGAGCATATTAAATGTTTCACTTTTATTTAAAAGGTCATGATAATTTCACTCATTCAGTTCTTATTCTGAATACTGACATTAGAAACTGAAAATAATAACTTTGATTCACTAGCCTGGTCTGTTTTTGTGAAAAAGTGAATTTGAAATCAGCCAATCAGAAGAGAGTGGGCTTTAAAGAGACAGGCACTTAAACAAGACGAGTATTATTCATGTCGTGGCAGGAAGACAAAACATCTCATAATTATCTGCTGTTCTCTGTAAATGATTTACTTTCAACAAATTCATAACTTTAGAACTTCATCAATGAACGGCTGCAGCTTCCCAACAGCCTGTAAGAGGCGGATAAATTAAATTATCTGAGGAGATGGAGAAGATAATCATCATTTATCAACACTGCAACAGTTTATCGTGATTCAGCTCTTCATAACCAGAGCTAACGTTGATCCTCTTTGATCGGGGATTTTCTCCTCCTCCAACAGTTTGTTTTTAAAAACAGAAAAAGCCTTAAATCCTCGTCGCTCCTGCAGGGATCCGGCCAGGACTAATTTGTGATGATCCACATCTAATGAAGCCACGACCTGCATGCCGATGAGACGAAGGGATGCAGATTCCCAGCAGGGAGTCTCACTTTCAATTTATGGACAATTCATCCATTTCTTTAACCAGAGCTGCTGCGGAGGAACAGGATGTTCCTCCTGATTTGATCCTCATGCAGGCCGCAGAGCGGCTGGATGCTAGCCGCTAGCTTCAACAATCTGCATGTAAACAAGGCCAAAGGCCACAAAAAGCAAAATGAAACTCATTTTACTCACTGCTTGAGCGCACCGTAGCGCATTATTTACACCGAGCCGTTGCTGCGATTTAAATCTAATATCGACAGCTGCAGCTGATTGCCTCCCAAAGCTGCAAAATCCCAGCATCAAGATTTAAATTAATACGACGTGTGAGGTGACACTTTCCACAGGCCTTCCTGTGATATTAAATTAGCGGCTGAATACCTGGGCTCAAAGGCTTCTTTTGCTTCAGGTGTTCTGTCTAAATCAGTTTTATTTGAATGAAAGGAGTCAAGCTGTGAAGGAGGAAATCTCCTAATATTGAGATAAAATCCCTGCAGCTGCTGTCAGAGCAGAGGACGTCTGAAAACAAAGTTGGCTTAGAGTCTGTAATGCATAAACTAACTGCAATAAACACTAAACACATCAACATCAATAC